ACCCTTTAGGCATCATCAACAGCCACCCTGGGCACACCTTCCTTTCACAACAAAGCCAGTGAACAGGATGCAGGGGTTGAGGCAGTTCAGGGCTCAAGGCTTCAATAACTAGAAAAAACAAACAAACAAAGTTTTTAAGATGGTGTGTGTAGAGCCCAGAGAGCTGACTTGGTGGCAGTGTCCAGAATCTTTGAGATCTGAGCATTAGTACTTTTGGCAGCTGGGAAAGTGCCCTTATCAACCTCTGCTTATTCTTTTTTTTTTTTTTATTCTCACCCGAGGACATTTTTGCATTTATCTTCAGACAGAGTAGGAGGGAAAGAGAAAGGAAGAGAGAGAGAGAAATATTTATGTGAGAGAGACACATCAACTGGTTGCCACCCACACAACCCCAGTTGGGTCCGGGAACAAACTGCAACCGAGGTGCATGCCCTTAGTGGGAACTGAACCCAGGACTCTCTGGTCCACAGACCGATGCTTTAACCACTGAGCAAAACCGGCCAAGGCTCTGCTTATTCTTTACTTTTCTTCTTTACAACCGAGGTAGGGAAATTTCCGTTAGCTAATGCCCCTGAGCCTCGGGGAGATGTGAGGCACAGAGCACACTTCTGTGGCAGGTTCCACATGCCAGAACCCGCCATGCTGCTCTGGCCAGCCTGGCTGCTCACTTCTTCTGGCAGCCCCCCGCCCTTGTGCCAGGATTTATTCAGCTCCTCTAATCTCCCTGAGTGCTGAGGCTGACAGATGCCTGACAGGACCTCAGAGTCAAAACTGCAATAAAATACATCATCACCATCCCTGAAAAGAAGCAAACCCAAGGCCCAGCTTCATCGGTGTCTGTAGCTGTGCTCAGACAGGATGATAAAGGATTGCACATCCCATACCCTCCTCCTCCACAATGTGTGTGTGTGTGTGCTGGGTTTGTCAGGGGTCTCAGGAAAGTCTATGAGGAAGTCTTAGATCACTTTAATCAATGTGCTAAGTGGTGGTTTCTGGGCCCCTGGCCTGCGCCGTAACACCTGGTCCATTAACACTCACTGAAGGAGCCCCATGGAATGTGTGGCTGAGCCTTGTGTGTTTCCTTTCAGAAAATGCTCATTGTTCACATCCTACAAGCCAGGCTCGTCTAATTTCTCCGCGCTCTCTGGCTACTTAGGGGAGGACAGCAGAGGAGAAACCCTGCACAGAATGTATTCCCACAGCCCAGGAAAACAGGCAACTCACTTGAAATAGAAAACACTGGATACATGGTTTTCATTGTCATCACACAGATTTATATGTGCAAGATCCAGAAATATATGTCCCTATAATCAGAAAACATTATTCAAGAGGAGACCACTAGGTCCCTAGGTGGAGCTCACGAGCATATCAGCATATCTGTTTATCACAGGATGAGACAATGTAGCATAACAAAGGATGGACCTGCCAGGTCACTTGAGAAAAATGGCCCTGGATTTCAGGACTATGAAGCCCCCAAAAGACTCTGTGCAAGATATCTGACTCTAATCACAGCTTCCTTCTTTCCTTTCTTCCTTCCTTCCTTCCTCCCCCCTTTTTTTTTTTTTTTATAGACTTGCAGTTTTAGGTCCACAGCAAAATTGAATGAAAAGTAGAGATATTTTCCATACATCCCCCTTCCACACATCCACAGTCTCCCCCACTATCAACATCCCCTATCTGAGTGGAACTTTTGTTATGTGACCCCTGACGGGGAAAAAAGACACCTACTAAGAAGAGCTCCTGGGCTCAGATTTTGTAACTGCAGCCATTTCTGCACAAGGGGCCTCTCATGCAAACTGCACTTGGTGGAGAAGCCTCTGCACCACCCTGCCTGCCTGCACTGTCTCTGCCATCTGAACCAGCCCTTATAAAGGACCTGGAGTCCTATTTCAGCCAATAGGATTGAGGCTTTCCATATCCACTCAGCTGCACAGCTCTGACCAATCAAAGTGGGTCTATTCTGACAAATCAGGGAGGGGGAAAACACACTTCTGTCTATATAAGCCAATGCCCCTCTAGTATGGGGAGGCATTTTCCATGGAAGACTGAAAACTGTCTCCTGGCCTGGAGCTCAAACACTGAAGATGTCCCATGGGAGCGAAGCTGAGCAAGCAGAGCTGAGCAAACTGGTGCCAACTGGCTCAGAGCACCACAGACTGGCACAGAATGAAGCAGACCATCAGGAGTGGAGCTACCTTGCTGAAGAGAGCCTGGTCCCAGGGCCCCTCGTGGCCATGCTCAGCACTGCAGAGCTGTTCCACAGCAGGGCCGTCTTCACACCGTGCTGTTGGGGTTCCTGTGAGACGTTTGCACTGAATAAAGTCTCCTTCTTCATCACACCCAAAGCTGAGGATTCCTGTTGGCGCTTGAATTGGTGCCAATGACCATCTGTTGACAGTTATAAATGATTAACCTGTTACCTCAAATCTGTATTTTACATTAGGTTCAGAGTGAACTCGTGGTGGTGTGTATCCTATGGGTCTGGAAAGATACATAATGACCTGTATCCACCATTAGAGTATCATACAGAGTATTTTCACTGCCCTGAAAACCCTTCTGCTCTGCCTATTCATCCTTCACCACTCCTGACACCTGGCAACCACTGGCATTTTACTGGGGCCATGATTTTCTTTTTCCCAGAATGCCATATAGCTGAAATGATGCAGTATGTAACCTTTTTCAGATCGGCTTCTTTCACTTGGTAATGTGCATTTAAGATTCCTCCATGTCACCCTGGTTGGTGTGGCTCAGTGGCTGGAGCTTCGGCCCATGGACTGATGAGTCGCAGATTCGATTCAGGTCAGGGACATGTACGTACCTCAGTTGCGGTTCAGTCTCGGCCCTAGTTGGGATTATGTGGGAGGCAACCAATCAATGTGTCTCTTTCACATCAATGTTTCTCTCTCTCTCTCTTTTTCTCTCCCTCCTCCTTTGCCTGAAAATAGATGGAAAAATATCCTTGGGTGAGGACTAAAAAAAAAAAAAAAAAAATAGATTCCTCTATGTCTCTTCATGCTTGATCACTCAATTTTTTTTAGTGTTGAATAATATACCATTGTATTATTATCCTCCTGCCTGATCCATTCACCTACTGAAGGCTTCTTAGTTGCTTCAGAATGTCCTTTAATAAACACAACCTGTCATTTTACCCTACAGCCATGCCCTTCCCTGGTCCTCCCTCTCCTGCACTCCCCTGGCTGCAGGCACATTGACCTCCATCCCCACGTCCTCGTCCTTCATCCTGGAATGACCCCTTCCCCTGGCTTGGCAGAGTCCTTCAAGTGTCACCCGGCATGAGCTTCCATAGTGAGGTCCTCCCTGACCACCCAAAGGAATGTCTTCTTTTGTAGCCATCTTGTAATCACATGATAGCTTCACACTTACTGATATCATGTCTGTCTCCCTTCTGCACTCTGACTCTGAAACGGCCAGGACCTTGTCTGTCTGTCTGTCTGTCTGTCTGTCTGTCTGTCTCAAGCACATGGCACTCTCTGTGGCTCTGCACACAGAAGCTGCCAATAACCCAGAGTTGAGGGTGAAATGAGGCCATGAGTGCTCACAGTCTAAGGGAGCCAGCAAGGGCCAGGAGATAGGTTGCTTTTCTAATGCAGATGGTTAACAAAAGGGATCAGACTCACCCAGTGCAATGCAGGTATCATTATTATATAACATGTAATATAGATATACTATATGTGGGTATACATGCATCTTTATACAATGATGTGAAGTGTTTGTGATATCATGGAGAAAAAAATGAAAGAATACTCTCATTGGATCTTTAAACTATACTCATTTTTATTTACTAGTGTATTTCATCATATATAAGGTATATTCTAACTTCAGAGTTGTTAAAATATTAAAATTAAAAAAAAAATGACATGGCAACTTGTAAGATTGATCTCAGTCACAGTCATTCCATTTGTCTCGCACTGCATATCAAACCCCAGGCACTCTCTAGTACAAAGTGCCCACCATTTATTTATTATGCTCCTGGACTCTGGAGGTCAGACCTTTGCATGGGACACAGCAGCAACGGTGTGTCTCTTCACAATGTCTGGGGCCTTGACTGGGAAGATTTAGCTTCTGGAAGTGACTCCAGCAGCTGGGGTCTAGAATCATTCCTCTGACTGGTTCAACAGATACGCTTTAGCACCATCCATATGTCAGGGACAGGGACGATGGTGAATCAAATCCATCATGATCACTGTGCCTACAGGACTAAAATCTAGAAATGCATGGGTCAGACATGGGTCATATGCTCATATTAAGGTCCCAGTACATTGGTGACAAGTGTTTCTATCATGAAGCAGAAGAGGTTAACAGGGGCCAGGACCTGCAAAGTCTGACATGTAAGGTGACCATATGTCCCAGTTGTAAAGGGAAAGTCCTGATTGTGGCCGTTGTTCTGTCTTCCGATTTGATTTTGTAATCATTTCATTTTCTTTTTCAGATTTTTATTGAAGTATTATTATTAGTTACAACAAAATAAAGTAAAATGGGTTCAGCAGAGCTCTTCTCCACAGTTCAGCTACAGGCATGCTCGAGTCTAACAGCATGAGAGATCTGCATGGCCTTTCCTTCAAGGGCAGCATGCTGGGTTGCTGATCCAAATGCTTAGCTACAAGGAGTCAGGAGTGTGTAAGTCCTTCTCCTCTCAAGTCACAATGAGGACATTGTTTAACCTGCTGCTTCTGCCACCTATTGATTGACTGACCAGTTTGTTACATGCTTGCTGAAGCCTGCAGGATGCTCGCTATCATGGGCTACCAACCTGGTAAACATGGAAATCTCAAAGCAGGTGCAAGAAATAGAGGCAGAACTGTGTGACTCTGAGCATTGGAATGGTCATCTACAGCTTCCTAGTAGATTGTAAAGATCTGAAATTATTTGTTTATTTTATTTTACCTTTTTTATTAAACATATTCAGCAGCAAAGACCTAAAAAATTAAAGTACAAGTCTGATAAAAAATTATTTCTACTTTTCAAAAATCTTGTTGATAGTGCTCACTTTGGCAGCAAGTACACTAAAATTGGAATCATACAGAGATTAGCATGGTTCCCTGTGCAAGGATGACACGCAAATTTGTGAAGCATTCCATATTTTTTCCACCAACTTATGCCATACACAAGAATAAACTCAAAATGGATAAAAGATTTAAATGTAAGTTGAAAAGCCATAAAAATCCTAGAAAAGAAAACATAGGCAGTAAAATCTTAAACATCTCATATAGCAGTACTTTTACCAATACATCGCCTAGGGCAAGGAAAACAAAGGAAAAAATTAACAAATGGGACTACATCAAACTAAAGAGCTTCTGCACAGCAAAAGAAAGCATCACAAAATAAAAAGGAAACCTGCTGTATGGGAAAATATATTTGCCAATGATACATCTTATAAGTGTTTAATTTCCAAAATATACAAAGAACTCATACACCTGAACACCAGGAAGACAAACAATCCAATTAAAAAATGGGCAAAAGACCTGAATAGGCACTTCTCCAAAGAGTACACACAGATGGCCAACAGACACATGAAACAATGCTCAACATCAGAGAGATGCAAATTAAAACTACAATGAGGTATCACCTCACACCTGCCAGAATGGCTACTATCAGTCAATCAACACTGTTGGTGGGGATGTGGAGAAAAAGAAACCCTAGTACACTACTGGTGGGAATGCAGACTGGTGCAGCCACTGTGGAGAACAGTATGAAAGTTCCTCAAAAACTTAATAATGGAACTGCCTTATGACCCAGAAATCTCACTTCTGGGAATATATACTAAAAATCCTGGTAAATAAAAGCATACCAATTAGAAAGAATATATGCGCCCTTATGTTCATAGTAGCATTATTTACAATCACTAAGATCTGGAAACAACCCAAGTGCCCATTAGTAGATGAGTGGATAAAAAAGCTGTGGTACATTTACAAAATGGAATACTATGCAGCTGTAAGAAAGAAAGCTCTCGTACCCTTTGAGACAACATGGATGGATCTGGAGATGATTATGCTAAGCAAAATAAGCCAGTTAGAGAAAGACAAATATCACATGATCTCACTTATAAGTAGAATCTAAAAAACAAAATAAACTGATTAACAAAATAGGTCAAGAGGTATGGATGCATTAAACAGAATAACAGATCTCAGGATGGAAGGGTTAGAGGAGAGGGAACAAAAAAAGATTAACCAAAGACCATATGTGCATTTATGCATAACCTATGGACACAGACAACAGCACAGGGAAGGCTGGGCTGGGGCGGGGATGGTGTGGAGGGGAGCAAAAAGAAGGAAAATGAGAGACATCTGTAATACTGTCAAGAAGAAGAAGAAGAATGATGTTGGTGATAAATGTGTAATATGCACAAAATATCTGCTAATATATATATTTTTTATCCTCACCCGAGGACATTCTTGCATTTAACTTCAGATAAAGCAGGAGGGAGAGAGGGGTGAAGAGAGAAACCGAAACATAGATGTGAGAGAGACACATGAGCTGGCTGCCACCCAAACGACCCCAAATGGGGCCGGGGACAAACTGCAACTAAGGTACGTGCCCTTAGAGCAGTGGTTCTCAACCTTCCTAATGCCGCGACCCTTTAATACAGTTCCTCATGTTGTGGTGACCCCCAACCATAAAATTATTTTTGTTGCTACTTCATAATTTTAATTTTGTTACTGTTATGAATCTCCATTGGAAATATGTGTTTTCTGATTGTGTCTTAGGCGACCCCTGTGAAAGGGTCGTTTGACCCCCAAAGGGGTTGCGACCCACAGGTTGAGAACCGCTGCTCTAGAGCATGAACTTGAGTGCTATCCATGTTTATTGTTCTTAAAATGAAGGAAGGATTAAAAGACATTGTCCATCAATAGATGAGTGGATAAAAAGGCTGTGGTACATATATAGAATGGAATCCTATGCAGCTGTAAAAAAGAAAGATTTCTTATATTTTGAAATGACATGGAGGGAGTATTATGCTAAGTGAAATAAACCAATCAGAGAAAGACAAGTACCACACGATCTCACTTATTTGTGGAATATAAGGAACAAAAAATGCTGATAAACAAAATAGACCCAGAGACAAAGAAAGGAGTATGGTTCAGATTGACAAATTTCAGAGATGGGGAGGGGAGGATGAGATAAACCAAAGAACTTACATACATGTATGCATAACCAATGGACATAGACAACAATGCTTGAGGGAATGGGTATAGGGAGGAGGGTATCTGGAGAGAAAAAGGAAAAACATCTGTAACAAAAATAAATTAATTAATAAAAATAATTTTTTAAAAAAAGTATTTGATCCAACAAATGGCACTGGGACAAATGGATATCCAGGGAATATAAATAAACCTTTGTCTCTACATTTTGCCACGTGAACATGTTAAATCAAGATGGCTCATAGACCTGAATGTAAAGCTAATGCTGTCAAGCTTCCAGCACAAAATGAAAGCTTTTAACTTACCAATGGACAAAAAAAATCACTAACCAGAAAAGATAAAAATGGTAAGTTGAACTTCATCAATACTGGAAACTCATGCTTCTCAGAGACATAATTAAGAAAGGGAACGTGTAAGACATCGGCAAGGTAATATTTGCAATACATATATCTGACAAAATGTATTTTTTTAACTCTAACAAATAAATAATAAAAACAAACAAATCTTAAATGAGGAAAAAGATTTGAACTGACAACTCACAAAATAAAAGAGATTCTAGAGAGTTCTCCCACCCCTTCCACCATGTAAGGACACAGCAAGAAGACAGCTGTTTATGAACCAGGAAGCGGCATCTCACCAGACACCAAAGCTTCTGGCGTCTTTAACATACACTCCAGCCTCCAGAACTGTGAGAAGTAAACGTCTGCACGTCTGTTGTTTATGACCCCCCGCCCCGGCCACCCATCTGTGTTCTGTTATAGCAGCCTGAATGAACCGAGACAAAGTATATTAATTTTCTATTATTCCTACAATAAGTTATTACAAATTTAGTGACTTAAAACAACACAGATTTATCTTACAGTTCTGGAGGTCAGAAATCTGAGATGGGTCTCCCTGGGCTAAAAATCAAGTTGCTGTCCTAGTGGTTTCTTCCTGGAGGCTCTAGGGGAGAATGCATTTTCTTCTTGCTTTAAGAAGCCACCTGCACTTTATGGTTGCCAGCCCCTTCCTCTGTCTTCAAAGCCAGTGATGACCAGTAGAGTCTTTCTCACGCGACATCACTCCACGCTGACTCTTCATCCTAAGTCACCAACATTTAAGGATAACATGGTGATAAAGTTGGGCCCAGGATAATCTTCCTTGTTAAGGTCAGATAATTAGCAACCTAAATTCTATCTGCACTTCAATTCCCCTTTGCCAAGTAACATAATATATTTTCAAATTCCGGGTATTTGGACACGAACATCTTTGGGGGTCATTCTTTTGTACACCATAAGAAAATAGAGGTCAAATAAGGGTTACCACTGTAGGAGTTTGACTGGGAAGGGCACGAGCTATGGAGTGCTAGAGAAAATATTCTAAATCTTTATCTGGGGAATATTTATATAGGTACATTAATTTAAAAAAAAATTATCAAGGTGTTTGGTTGATGTGGCTCAGTGGATTGAGCATCGATAGTCTCATTGACTTAGAGGTCCCAGTTCAATTCCTGGGCAGGGTACATGCCCAGGTTGTGGGCTCGATCCCCAGTAGGGGGTGTGCAGGCATCAGCAGATTGTTGTATCTTTCTCACATCAATGTTTTTTCTCTCTCTCTCTCTCTCTAAAAAAAATCAATAAAAACATATATTTTTTAAAATCATCAAGGTCAAGCTGTATATATAAAATGTATGCACTTGAAGTATGACATACATCTATAAACAGTTTCAAAGAAATGTATGTGCCTTTGAAGCACTACTTTAGTAAATCCCCAGTGTCCTGCAGAAAGACTGAATGTTTTGAAGTCCACTGAACAAAATTGGACAATTCTAGATCAAAGTATTCAATAATATAAGGCAAGAAAACCCAGCTTTTGAAGCTTTTAGCAAATTTAAATCATCTAAAACAAAACTAGCAGAAAAAAGAAGACGATGAAATTTGGCCGTAAAAAGGAATTAAGAGACTAAACAAATTAAACCACAAGATTTTATATGGTGTTCAAAATATAATTTTGAAGCTGTATGTCCCAGCTTTTGTGAAGGATTTTTGGTAGAATTTCCACTTTTAATTGCATAAAGATATATGTGGCACGAGAATGGGATAAAATTAAGACATAATTTTCAATGCCAAAATTTGGTGAAACCTTTAAAAGATTCATAAATTGAGACGATTTAATAACCTTTGTACAGGGAACAATCTGACCGAGGTCAGAGGAGAGGGGTGGGGAGTACCAGATAAAGAAAGGTGAAGGGAGTAGCCGAAGAGCATATATGCACAGCACACCTCACAGAGCCGAGTGGTGAAGGCCGGGGGGGGGGGGGGGGGGGGGGGGGGGGGCTGGGTGGAGGTGGGCAAAGGAGGGCAAGAGAGGACATCTGTGATAGTATCAACAATAAAAACAACTTATTTGGAGACGAAATATATGATCTATTATAAGTTTAAGCACTTAAAATTTTGTTTTTATGAAAAAGTAGAAATAGAAGATGTATTTCTTATAATAAATATTTTAATATTTTTAAAAATTTTTATCAACTCTAGTGAAGATAAATTATTGCTGATGTGCTAAATATAGCTGTGTCTATACACCTTCTTGCCAGAATCCAAACAATTCATATTAACATCTTCAAATTATGTGGCTTTAATCAGAACATCAGTTGTGGCGAGAGTGTTACACAAGGGGCCACGTTGAAGGAGAGGTGAAAAGAGAAGTTTGCGTAGAACTCATAAACACTGCACTTCGTTTATTTCAATTCAAATTTCAGCAGAATATTTTGTTTAATCTGTGCATTTTTCACACAAATACATATTTACATGCTTAATGGAAACTGACCTTTATTCTCTGAATTTGATTTGAAAATGTCTGGAAAAAAATAGCATTTGCCCTTTGTTGTATAATTTTTTATCAAAATATAACCTGGTAATATACATATTTAGATTAAAAATGAACGACAAGTTACCTTTCTCAAT